AACCGCTGAACTGCAGATAACAGTCAGCTGAAGTGGCCTGCAGTACTGCACCCTAACCACTGCGCCACCTGGGAGATTGGAAAACCATTTGTTAGAAATGATTGGGTTATCTGTTTAAGTAGGAGGTTGAATTAGAAGACCCTTCAAGGTCCCTTCCAATTCTATTATTTTGTCTGTTGCTGTCCTGTGGTTTCTGGATTTGTATGCATTTTTAAGGCTTAGTCCTTCTTAAGGAAACAATATCTTTTTCTGAATTTTTCTAACTATGCAGATCCAGGAAATAAATACCTATTGGCATTACAAAAGCTTTAAGGAGGAAGCAGCAGGTTAAGGTGATCATAGTTGTCCCTCTTTAATTTGAATGAATATTTTCCTAGGACTGCATGACCATCTTACAAGACAAGAAATAGCACAGTTTGTTTCGGGAGTACAGACAGATACATCAAGCACACAATCCCCCACTTTGAAGCACCTTTTTCTGCTTTGAACCTGAATAATGCCATATCTCTACAAAGGCTCTTTGTTCTTTGCCTCCTGATATAAAAAGAACTAATTCAGATATCAACAAAGAACCAATGTTACAATCCTATTACAAATCAAGTATAAATTTCTCATTTCTCTTTCATTAATTGTTTTCTTTCTTCTATAAAACAAAATTATTAACCTCTGAAAATTGAAATATTGGTGATATAGCCAAAAAGTATATATGCATCTTTAGTATAATGATTTAAGGGATGTGGTGGCTCAGTGTCTAAGCTTGTCAATCAGAAAGGTTGGTAGTTCGGTGGTTCAAATCCCTAGCACTGTTTATTGGAATGAGCTCCTGTTACTTATCCCAGCTTCTGCCAACCTAGTAGTTGAAAAGCACATAAAAGATACAAGTAGAAAAATAGGAGGCACCCTTGGGGGGAATGTAACAGAGTTCCATGTGCTTTGGCATTTAGTCATACCAGCCACATGACCATGGAAACATCTTTGAACAGCGCTGGCTCTTCAGCTTTGAAACGGAAATGAGCACCACCCCCTAGAGTCGGGAATGACTAGCAGATATGTGTGAGGGAAACCTTTACCTTTATTTTTTAGCATAATGATTTATCCAGAATCAGACTACAATTCCATCTCAAATGTAACAGTTGGATAAGATCAAAAGACATGAATTAATACACAATCTTCTGAGCTGCATCTCCAAAAACAAGATGACTGTAAACAATCCTTATTAAGTATTCTTTAAGATATTATTTCTACACAAAGCAAGTCATCATTTTAATCTCACTTTAACATTTTAGGAAATGAAATTTCATATTGTTTATAGTGATCTGCCATCAGCTTCTCAGGACAGGACGTTCACGTTTATTATTTTAGAATTTGTGAAAATAACTAAATCACTTTCATCAATTTATAATAAAAAAGGATTATTGGCTTAGGAGGTACACTTACCCTCTCTAGAACCCCTGTGGAACTTCAGAAGCAAAAGTAGCATCTGGACTAAATAAACTAAATACCAAATGTTTTATTTGAATAAATTGCCAAGAAGCACTATGTAAATCAAATATATTTTTCAATTTTGGAGAAGTTTTAAAAATGCTTTCTCAAAACCAAGTTAAAAAGAGGCCCAATTCACCTAAGGTGTGTGAGAGGGAGAGAGCAAGAGAGAAAGGAGGCTGGAGAGTGTAGATGCTATTTTTTTAAAATTGTGAATATCTCATAATGGTCAAAAGGTAAAAATATATCCAATGTTGTCCTCATTTGTTTTTCAGCATTGAAATGTATCCCAGCACAAACAGGGATCAAAGGTTTGCCAAAAATTTTATGGCTTCAAGGTGAGACAAAAAGAACAGCTGAATTCTGAACTTTATTTACTTGTGGAAATATGTTTTTTTTTCCTGACAAATGGTTCCCATCGAATAAACTATTTGATTTTCATAATTTCTACTGCCATCATCATCCTATTCATAATATTCTGGAAGAGTATCATAGGTTTTCTCACCAAATGACTGCAATGAGATAATTACAAGTCACAAAGCATCTGTGTGATGTTCTCTCTGACCTAATCATGCTTTCTCCCTGCCATTCCAGCTGTAATTTTCCATTTTTGTGTGTGCTTTGGAAGCTTTACTTCCAAAGAAAGCGTTGGTCTGCAACCACTGATTGTTTTTAATTTTTAAGAAGCTTATAGAAAAACAAATTGTGGAAAGTCAATTTGGATAAGAATTTCAAAAGATTCCAAGAAAATTAATGATGTGTTTATTGATCACAGATCTTGAGTATAAACAGATGTTTACAAAAAACAATATAATTTCCATCAATGAATACTTTGTTTACAATCACCTGAACATATTTCTGATGTAGACTGAAATATAGTTTATATATAGACATGGTCACCTAGATTTCTCATTTATGGTATCTTTGGGCTTTACTAAAAATGATTAGAAGTGATATGCTTTAGATTTCCATCTTCTTTAATTTACTTTTTTTGAAAGAGCTACATTAACATATTCATAGAAATCTCTTGGCACTGGCTGTAAACAATGAATTATGTTCAGGACTGCAGCCAGAAATAAGATATGTCAGAGGTCTATTACCCATTCAATCGAGAATCAGTAAATTGCCCAAGGGCATTTCCTTAAATGGGAAAGGGTAAAATAACTGAAACTGAGGCCCCAATTGTATCTGGAACTCAATCATATTGCTGATTTAGAATATACCAGGCATTTTTTTGTAGTTGTCAGACTTAATTTAGCTTTTGCTGACATGAATGGACTGGCTTAAGATTTCAAGATAACAAAGGTTTTCTTTTCCCCCAATTTTTCACCTGCATGCAGCAAGTAGTGTGATTTTTAGGATAACTATCATAAACATTTGGATTTCTGTTAAACTGTACTACTATAAAGCTGATCCCAGGACTGAAGGAACTTGTTTTTAGGCTTTAAGAGCTAATCCAGATTTGAGATAAGACCTTATGTTTTGATAATGTCATTGTTCTAGTCCAACAGAAAATAGGACAATAAAAATGTTCCAACAATGCTTTTATTTTGCATATTGTATTGGACCTTTTTAACTCAGTACACCACTTGGGTTGGGTTGAAACCCAGGAAAAATATTGCTCTAAGTTACTTCATGGACTTTGGCCTAATATCATTATTTTTTTTTATTTGTATGTAACACAGACATTGTGTCTTGATTCTGTATCTTGTTAGACAACATTAGTTCTTTAGAAAAATTAGAGAGAGAGTGGTGGTGGTGGGGTTGATTTTACAAAATACTAGATGGACTAGATCTTCTGAAACATTAATTTTGTAATTTTGAACTAGGTTTATTTCTACCAAGAGGTTTTTTTTTCATTTCTTCTGTGTATCACATACTTCTACAAAATATAATTTTGTTTAAAAACATGGGATGTCCCGCAATTTCACTTTGGAGACCAGAAATTATATTTAATAGTTTTGGGGGAAACAGATAGGCATAAGGAGAGGCAACAATGCAATAAGTATGCTATCATACCTGTGGATATATATTTTTTTCTTTTTTCCTTTCTTTATTTCTAAAGCATTTGAATGGGTTTATTTAAAAAAAAATAGCCTATTTCATGAGAAAGAAAAGGGCTGTAAACCATAGTGAAAAATTTGTTACTAAGAATTCTAATTGATAAGAATTTAAAAGACTCCAGAAACTGTAAAATAGGGCTTAAAAAGATATAAATTTCTAATATTGCAGGTTGTCCACTTCTATAATCTGTAGCTTCCAAATACCTTGAAATAATGGCATGTATTTTTAATGTTCTAATACATAACAAATTATTGCATATGTTCAAGCTGTTTTGGAAATTATGTCCATCACATTTTTAATCTTCAGTGACATGGTAGGATTAGAATAGTGCAATAATGCATGATTACCAATTATCATATATGTGCAAAAGATAACATAGCCTTTTGTAACTGCAAATTCTGATGTTTGTTTTTCTTGGTTTAAAAAACCCAACCTTAATGAATTAAAGTTTCAGAGATTCTAATATATGTCTTAAATGGTATTAGATTATGTGTGTTACTTAAAATGTTTGGACAACAAAAATGCATATAAAGGTTGACCATATGTTCAATCCCATTAATGCACTTACCTGTATATAACTTTTTGAAATGCATATATAACTTCCAGCAGGACTAGATAACCTAAAGCTAATGGGCTGCCTATGGACCACGATCTTCACAGAATTATTATCATCAGCATATGGCATTGTTATATTAACCAGGAGACCATATCATTAATGCAGAGTAGTAATGTGGTCCAATTTACTAGTTCTGTTGTGGTACATGCTCACACATTTCCCATTTGCCACAGGGAGATCAGCTAGTTTCACAATTGAAAGCTCTTCCTGCAATGTCATCCCACCAAGGAAGGTTCAGAGCCAGCAGAAATCTGACTGCCTGTATGAAGAACCAGCTCGTCTTGCCACCAAAGTGGCACCTATTTATCTACTAGCACAGAACATGCTTGAACATAGAAACTGTTTGGCAGGCAGAAGCTAAGGCACATCTTTCCACACAGTGCTAGGACTTGAACCACTGGAGGAAAGACCATCTCCAGCATCATTAAGCCACTACCTTCACAAAAGGAAGTGGAAGATGGAAATCTGTCAATGAAACAGGATGAATAGATGTGATTTCCTATTGATTCTTGACAGTAAACAATAACAATAATATATACAGAAATGGAAGATAAATAGGATAACTACTTCCTTTTCCCTAAAAATATAGGAAAGGAAAAAACAAATAACCAGACCAAGCATCAAGTTGCTCTTTCTTCAGTGTCATTTTTTTAGAGGAGGCAAGTTAACAATTTCCCCAGATTGTAATGATATAATATGGACTGGTTTGTTCCTCAATATTCTTTATAATTGGCCCATTCCTTTTATGTGGAAATACTCAGCTGTGCTAACTCTCACCTGCAAACTAAGGTGGGGAAAGAGTTTATCATTTCTTAATTAGTTAATTGAATTAGGACAATGTTTATTCAGACAAACTGTTTAATAAAATATTCTAGATGGAAACACATATAATAATGAGAAATATATATCTGTAAATAACCAAGTTAAAGCTTACTATATTTAATATCATGAATCACAAGTGAGATTTGTACAGCAACTACTTTATTATTTTCAAATGCAAACTTTTGCATTTAGTTTGCTATTTTACAATTTTACAAACTAGGTATAAAAGACCATAAATAAATGACATAAGTTATGTGTACCTAACATTGATGGAGAGGGAAAAATTACAAATTAAAATAAAATAGAAAATCTATATTTCTATCTGAGACATTGTTCAAATCTGCAAACCCAAGCAATGCACTGTTAAGATTTCTTTTTTCCCCAGTATGGACTAAAGTATCATATGCCTCATACATTCTATTTTTTTAAAACAGTCCTTGCATATTCCAACATATTTGCAGTGATACAAAAAATAAATGCACTCTCTTTTTTTTAACTTCTTAATCTGTCTAATTAATATTCAGGATGCTTTCTTTCTGGTTATGAAAATGCATGTAAAAGAAAAATACTGCTTTGAAGTTCTGGTTACTGGCTAGAACCAGCTTTTTTGTTTTATACATATATATATTTATATATTTAATACACAAATCCATCACAAATTTAATACAGCAAGAAACCTGGACAAACATTAACCAGTGAGGTTGTAAGCAGATATTTCCTTAATGTATAGAGGTTTGCTGTGTTAAAATAGTCCTGTTGATGTCTCTTCTGTAACCAGGAAGAAATGAAGGCCAGTTCTATACAGCATTCTGGCTTTTACTGGGCAATGTGTATTGTTTAGTATATTTGATTGCAATTATGTCCTGGCTTTGCAGTCCATGCAGCTCATGGCTCCTTAATAGTGTTTCATGCCTCTTTATTGCCAACAGCACAAATACCTGAGCCCCAAAAATTGGTTTTAGACTTTGCATCCATGAATACAACAAAAATGGGAGAGGGTAGAGAGAACTGTAGGGATGGAAGGAGAAAAGGCAAAGATGTTTTGATAAAAAATCCCAAAAATGCTAGAAAATTTTAATGCAAAATTTACACATTCTTTTATTTTATTTTTTCTCGCTTAGTAATGTCGGTTTGACTATTCTGTTTCAACTTGCTGTAATGCATTGTATTTCAGCAGAGAAAACTATTCTGCAACCAGAAAACAGATCAAATACATCAATGGCTGAGCTCAAAATATGGAATGGCAGTATAGTCTCCAGGTTGTCTCCATTCATCAGCTTCCAAAATCGATATATATATATATAGAAAAAGAAAAGTCTCCATGGTCTGTCAACCTTTCTAGGAAGGACCAATTATGACAAAGATTATTGTAGCAATGCAGAGAAAATACCCTGGTCACTTTTTTTCAAATTTTAAATGTGTTTTGATCATTTAAAATGTTTTCATATTCAGCTGGATGGGGGAGAATTAATAATTTGCTCCACAGTCAGTTTATAAGCCCAGAAATTCTTGCAAATGACACATGGGATAATTCATTACTGTGAATGGATAAGGATTGCATAATTCTGTTCATTTTCAACAAGTCTTTTCAATACTGTTTTTCCAGGAAAAGAAAAAAAATTGTTCAGTTCAAAGCAACCTGCTGATGGGTGAAGACTTATATTCTCTATCTACTTTACCTTAAGGTATCACTGATTCAATAATGAACAGCCTTGGCAAGACTAATGTTTATCAATGCTGTTCTTTAGCCATAATGGAACTCATGATGGATCACTCCACAACCAAAGTGAAAGTGTCCCTGCTCTAGGCTAGAGAACTAATTTTTAAGGTTAGTGTGGCAGCTACATAAAATATGTATAGATACAGAACTGGAACATTCAGGAGTATGTGTGTTTTCTCCCTACTGTTGCATAGCTCACCTACTGGCCCGGTAACTCAACAGCCCAGCCACAAACTGTCAAATTATCTTGAGATGCTATCTGCATATTCACAGGTGGCCCTGTGCAACAGGCAACAAACCTATTACATGTGCATGCATGCATGCACGCACACACACACACGCACACACACACACACACACACATTAAAGTCATACATAACCTTACACAATCTTGGAAGAAATAAGTTACTTTCCATTCTATTAAAAATATTGACATTTAAGCATTGGCACACTTTCCATAAAGTATCGCTGGACTATCATATGCAGTTTCAGCTTTTGTTAACCAAGTTCTGCACAGGGGTACATTGCCTTGGTGTCCTTATGGCTCCGACACTGACATTTGGAGAGACATAGCAACAACATGCATTGGAGAAAAAAAAGACACAGCATCTAGGGGTTTCTGTGTGTGTGTGTGTTTATGCGTGGTGCATGTGTATGTATGTCTGTAGGGCTTTTATACAGTACATTCCTTAAGTGGAAATAAAAGAACTTTATCTGGATCTTATATTTGCTTTTTGTTGCTGAGAAAACCTTTTCAAAAGGAAGAAATCCAAAGAGATACTCTTCAGGAAGTAAAAGCTGCTTATTCACGGTCCATTTTCTCTACAGTCAGTGCTGAATGAACTGAGACAATTGAAGGTGCTTGTCTCTAGTCTGTTATCTTCCAGGGTTAAGATGATCACCAGAAAGGCCTGATTCCAAGAAAGCAGGGTCCATTTTGCCTATCAAAGGAAACAAACAAATCCCAAGTCAGAACTTGGTATCTTCGATATTTTTAATGTCAAAAGGAGAAATACAATGCATATTTTAAGTTTATCACAGAAATATCCTACATTCGCTTTTTTACTATCTTCCAAATAGTTTTTTTTCCCTAAAACAGTTACAATAAATGTATGATTTCAGACACTGAAAACATTGAATGTTTTCAAATGGAAAAGCATCCATTATCTAATTAAAAAGAAAACATAATAATTCTGGAAATAGTGCATTTTGATCTAGGAAAGCTGTATTAGGAAAAGACGTAGTAGAAGCAGGACTCAGATTGAGCTAATGCTTTAATGCATTGTATTTAAAGATAAAGCTATGTTCAACTTATGACCAGTTGTTTTATGACTGTTTTAAGTTTTATGGCCATGGAACAGTGCCCAGCTGCACTGCTCTCCCTGCAGTCACATGACTGCAGCTTTACAACTGGTCATCTGATCATAGTTTCATGGTTACATCAAGCAATTCAGCAAAACAAAAATGATATAAATGATTGTGATCACTTAACAAGCATATAATTTGCTTAATGACTGCAGCATTCACTTAATGACCACCATGAAAAAGGCCAGAAAATTGCTTCTGGTCACATGGGTGCCTTAACTTACAACCAGATTTCTGGTATGAATTATTGTCATAAGCTAAAGGCTACCTGTATAAATTAGATCCTTGTCCTGGTTTCATTAACAGCAATGTCTTCCAAATTCTCAACTGAGGATATGGAACGCAATTAGAATCAGAATAGGTAGCAAACTAGGTAGACCAATAGGCAGATTCATATACATACTATTTTTGCAAATAATATTTCGCTAAACAGTTGTAATACATATATTCACACATATTCACAAATCATATTAAACAAGAAGTTTCAGGAATAAGTAATCTTGGGTGGATCATGTTAAAGCAATTTAAACAGAGATTCTGAACATAGATATCAACACATGCATAACGCTGGAATCAAATTAATTACATAATAGGAAATAAAACATGACGACTTGCAATCCAATCTCATCCAGCACAGTTTCAAATGCAGACTGTGCAACACACAGTATACAGTATGTATAGATATTTGGTAGAATACATGCACATTAAGGTATCTATGTATAAATGGTATGAAACATATAATTTGACTTTTTTTTCATTCATGACATTTGCCTGATGATCTCTTGACACATTTGTGATCATTGCCCCCTTGTCCCTCCTAACAAGGACCCTTGCACAGTTATGGGTTACATTTAGAAAAATAAATAGATGTAAAATATATGGGTTAAACTTTAAAATAGAGCAATATTTAATCTAGAAAATATGCAGTCAGTATGTAAGTTTAATGTAAAGAGTAGAGTCAGACACTTACTTGGAAGAAAGCATAGAAAGAGATAAGAGTTATTGGGAAAACCAAAGAGGAAAATATGCCTAAAATGTGGGGGGGTGACCTCTACCTACAGTAATTCAGGGCTTCTTGGACAATGGGTAAAAAGGCTTTCTGGACAATGAAAGCATGGTTGATGACTTCCAGTATCAAGAAATGATAAAGCAAACTATCTAAAATGAATGTGATAACTTTAATGGTAACAGGTAAATCAGAACAATTATATTTATTTATCACATTTTCAAATCACCTGACAATATCTAAAAGTTAGATATTCTTTTAAAGAAGCTTTAGAATGGCCAAAATACTACTATATTTTGGCCACTATAAGTGGAGAGATTGAAGAAATAGAGTGGTCAGAATAAAAATGAGGCAAAGATTCAAATTCTCTCCAGAATGGGGGAAGAAGGCGGGGCTTAGCAGTGAGAAGACGGACTTTCAGGTTACTCCTGAAACTCCTCTATTCTGAAGCATTTGGACGGTCCCTTTTTGGACCCAAGCTGTCCCGGAGAGACAGTGAAAGGTAGGAGGAGACCCAGTGGTCCCAGAAACATTCGTAAAGTCTCCGGGGACCTGGAAAAAACCTCCTTTGCTAGTGACTTCCAGATTAGCCATAAGGCTAACTGAAACTGCAGACAGCCCTAAAGAAAGTGTCAAAAGTGTTTCCAGCTAGTAAGATTATTTTATTACTCAGAGAAAAACAGATCGCCTAAAAATTCAAGCTAATTTAAGTTAAAGAACAGAAGAATCTAGCGGCGATTTTGATCTTTTTATTGGTTTTTGGACGGTTGTTATCCTACCTTTTAAATGTTTTAAATGTTATTCACACGGACAAAGGATAGATTACTCCAACATCTCCTCTGATCTTCTGCAAGCGGGCTGTAAACCAATCCACTATAATTTGGTTGTTTACAACTTGACACTTTTATTGCTTGGCTGTATTGGCTTAAGATCTGATAAGATTGCACAGTTTTCAGCCTGCTTTTACTTGCAAATACTTCAGAGCTCTCAAGAAAAAATACTAACTGCGTACAAACATGGCGTCTATTCAAGCGTCTATTCAAATGATTTTTTCAGCACTACAGAAGATGTCTGACAC